AGAAAAATCTGAGTCTGGCAATCACCCATCTGAACCACAACTTGAATTTCCGACCCCACCTCCAACGGCCAAAGCCAACAGGCCATGCTGAGCCGACTGCCAAAGACCCGTCCCAAGAACACCCCACCAACATCCTTCTTTGATGCCTTGCGCAAAAGATCCTCCACCCACTTGATCTCAGCCCCAACCAAATCAATGGCCCTGTGAATCCCTTAGCCTCGCTCCACAATGTCAACCCGCCATCTCCCGATTGCATCGGCGCTGCCCTTAATGAATTCAAAAGAAAAATTGCCTAAGAATATCAGTCGACATCGAATCCCTTGCGACTCTGACGCGAGCATCGAGCAAGGTTTTAGATCCCAATCCAAAACTCAAAAGCAAACACTTTTATTAGGGGTCAGCAATGTTGCCAACACAATTCTGCTTTGCCATTCTATATGAAAAACAATTTTTAGAAAATCAATCAACACCAAACAAGGTGGTTTTTCAAGAAATTAGACTTTAAAGAATTATGGGTTTCTTGCAGGTTGCAAAAAAGAGGTGCGAAAGAGAGAGAAAGCAATGCAAGGGGATGACTGACGCGTGGACGACTAAGATTAAGTCTCGATAATATGCATCGATAACTGGGATTGAAAGAGTTATTAAACTGGTTCGGTTCAGTCTCCTCCGATTTGAATTTTACAGAACTAAAAAATGAACCCAAAAAAACAAGGTTTTATTTTTTTAATTTTTCTGAAAAAATAAAAATTAATTTGGCAAAAATAAATATTAAATATATTTTAAAATTTTAAAAATTATTTTCTCTTTGAAAATAAAAATAAAAATGATGACACTGTAGGAAGATAGTTAGCTCTTTGACCATTAATCATATCTTTTTGCACCCTCGTCCAATGAGTTGTCAAGTTCAATCAGATGGATGGTTGTCTCCGGGCAATCGAATGATCAAGCAAAAATTGATTTCTTAAGAAAAAATGGTTTGAGTATGTTGAGACTTGGGAGAACTTAAGACTAAACATCTGTACTATTCTCAAGTCTAAGGAAAATAAATTGGGTTCGAAAATCAGCCCATTGTGATACAACACCTATGATTCTTAAGGTTGTGACTTATGTTGATCTTCCCCTTGAAATCACAGATTTATCTATAGGTCCTCAATTGTTTTAAGACAAAGGACAATTCCTACAAAAATAGAGGCCGGATCCAATAAGAGAACAACAAATATATGACATGAACTTTGTATAGTAGTTTGCAAGGGTTCTAAATCTCTACAATCTCTTTTTACTTTCCATTTTAGGTTGATTGTGTGATCTTCCATCTAACATTCCTTCCTTTCAATTGAAGTATTTCTTTCCTTTTTTTGTAAAAGTCAAAGTTCTGGTTAAAGATGTAGAAAAGATGCATCTTTAGTGCATTAAACCCTATCACTTATGGACTAAAAACCAGATTAATCATTTACATCACGACATGGACAAGAATTGGACAGAAAACATACTATAAGAGGATAGCATATCAATTTATCTTAAATTGAAAAAGAGAAAAAGAAAAAAAAAAGAAAAAGGAAAGGAAAGGATAAAGCTAACTTTACACACAATAATCAGTCACTGAATTTTACCTTGAAACAAACAATAATCAAAAGAACAAAACAATAATGTCAAATTAGTACACATTAATGTGTGTTTGAGAGGGAAAATCTAATCTTTGACATAGTGCACAAAATTGTTGCCCTAAAACTTGAACCCATACCCTCAAGATTATTAGGCCAAGATTTTACTATTGAACTAAATATTAAAAACTTTATGTGGGGCAAACATTTCAATTTAGTTACAAAAAGTATCTATTTGGCAATGAAACAACCAGAGGATGAATGTGGTCCGTCACAAATTTTCTGACAACCCACATTCTGTTGGTATTTTTTTATAATAAATTAAACAGAAATGACAAAACAATTTTTTTATTAAATGATGAAATACAGAATAAACGACACAACTAAATACATAAATGAATTAGATTACATTACTAATAGAACAAATTATTAACATAGATAACTAAAGATTATAACTCATCTTTGTAAACTAAATATTAAAAAATTTAAGAACAAATGATAAGAAAAGAAGCAAACCGAAGCCTACACCCGATAGTTTCCTTAAAAAAGATTCACCGCCTCTCAATGGATGCTGGAGGTACGCCGACGTCTATCTCCCAGGATACGACAGTTGAAACCAGCAATACAGAAGCACTTTCTGAAATAGTTTCGGCGAACTTGACAATGGATGCACTCTCTCTAACAAAAACCAAAGAAGGGGCTAGCAAAAGAAAATAAAAAAAAAATTCTTTGGTGTAATAAATCATCTCTAACTTTTTATCTCAAAATACCATCTTCATATTCCATCAAAAATCTCTCCAAAATTATTCTCCCAAGTTGGAGGGGAAAGGCCTCTATCTATACAAGTAGGGGAATCCCTAGCCATGAAGGCTATATATCAATAGGGCCATCAAATGCCATTAACCAAGGCCATCAACTCCAGCCATTAGGACTAGAGTTACAAAGGTTGAAAACCTATGGCTACTAATATGGTCATCAACTCCATCATCAAAAGATGAGTTACAAAACCATACTTTTCTCATGTGCTTAATATATACAAATAAATATGTATATAATGATGTTTGAATAAATCAACTAGATGGGTCACAAAATGGATACTAATGTTGGGTCACAACCCGATCCAAGCCCAATTCTCAAACACATGCACAAGCTGAGCCCAACACAACATAGCTTAGCCCAAGCTCAAAATTAAGTCTAAGTCTAAGTCTAAGTCTAAGTTCAAGACCAAAACTAGCACATGCACATGCACAAGCACAAGCACAAGCATAGGCCCAGTCCACACTAAGACTAAGTCCAAATCTAAGCCCAACTTTTATTAATACCCACTTTATGAGACAATTCTCATTCATAACTCAATGGTTTCGGTCCATCATTTTTATATTGTAATCTTCTCACTTGAGAGAATACAAAACCACTCAGACCCACATCAACCAGCGGTTGGGTCCCACTTTAATTTCGAATTAAAGTTGTCGAAAAACCATTATTTTCCAACACATTCTAGGTTTCTCTTTTTTCATTAAAATCATTGTCGTACATCCTTCTCGTCGCCTGTCTCGCTTTTGAAGTGTAACTCTCTCTAATTTTTTATTATCAGGACTTGCTCGACAGCCAAGTCCACGTGAAATAATTGACCCATCACACTCTGACTTCTAGGAAGATAAAACACGAGTTTCAAATCCTATATGAGTGGCATATTCATCATAGAATGTTCTTGCAGCTTTTTCCCACTCAAATAGCATCCCCTCTTATGGTTCTTGATTTCTACTAGATTCACTTAGTTTCCCTCCTATAGAAGTTTCTATTCCCCCAGCTCCATCATCCATTTGGGTTTGCCCATCCAATGACACTCAACATTAATAGTTATGAAATCTTTACCAAAAAGGGAAATGAAATTTGAAACTATTGTACATAATGTAATTTTTTTTAACAGATATGATTAAAATAACAATTTGTAAATCAAGATTAAGAGAAGAGTGGCTCCTAATTTCAAATAAATATAACTGGGATACGACAACATCAATGAAAAGATAACTATAAATAACATTAAATTATACCAAAGTTGCTTGTGTCAACCACTAGCTAGTTAATTTTGTGCAAAGCACCAAACAATTTCTCATAAGCATCTAAACAAGCAGCAAAGACATGCAAAAACTAACCGAAAAGGGAAAATTTCCATGACGAAAAATCATAAAATGTAGAAACAATGCAATCCTCTAGCACAACAGTATATACTATGCATTTGGCTTTGGCCTAACCATGAGTTTGTTTACATAACTCAACATCATTAGTAGCAAAGAGACAGAATTTTGAATGTAATGTGGATTAGTCACGGTACAAAGTAAGTAATCGAATTCATATAACAAATCTGAAGTTCATATATTTATACAAATTAATTAAAATTAGGTCACCAAGAACTAGTGCTTACCTTAGTTTAATCCTATATTACATGAACTAGAGTATTAGTGTCGGGTGTGGGTATGCATCTAGAGGTTAGACTCATCAATCCATAAATTCAAGGGTATGGAGACTTGGTAAAAAAATATAATTTATATAATAAAACAGAAAGGCTTTTGAAAATATACAAAAATGTATCATACATACATTTTGTTTGAATGGCCCAGATCAATTCTTTTAAATGTCAATGGTTGAGATGACTTTCATTCCCGCCCAAACATTTGTTCCCCTCAGCCTTCCACCTACCTACGTCTCCTCCCCATTTCCCTCTTCTCTCTCTCTCTCTCTCTCTCTCTCTCTCTCTCTTCCTCTGTTCTTCTTCTTGAACAAAACCTTTTCCCTCTCTCTCTATCTCTCCCCTCAAAACTTTCCTCTGTTGCTCCTATCTTTTTCATACTTTCATACGCTACTCTCTCTCTCATACCCATCACGATCACCGACCACCAACCACCTCTCCTTGCAATGACCACCGCCATTGCGACTCTGACTGTTCACTTTTATTACCTTTGGAATGCAGATAATCATAGAGTTCATGTCTTGACGCAATCTAGATATAAAGCTCAAGTAATTTTTCCGGGTAAGAAGGTAATGATTACATTTGTCTGCATAAATCCTTACAAGATGTTAGTATATGACATTAGTGATATAGCGGAGCAAAACTACATCTGATTTTGCCTTCTGACAAAACGATAATCAGATTTGCTGTAGGCAGAGTACATTTGGTCTCATTTATCTTGCATTGCAGTGTGTTATTTCTCAAGTTCCACCACATAAAGATTTTCTTTTATTTATTTTTAAAGTTTTAAAACTGTTATTTTTTGTGTTAACACAATAACTAAGTTTTTTTTTGGTGTTTGTATTTCTTCTTATAGCTGGAATTATTGCTTGATTCTCATCATTTCCTTCTTCTGTGTCCTTGCAATTAGAGTCAGGGACTTTCCAAGAATTGTGATTACAGAGGAGCCAGAGTGGAAAGACTGTATTCAAGGTTCAAATGCTGTTGTAAATTTGGCTGGAATGCCCATAAGTACAAGATGGTCTCCTGAGGTTAGCATTTCAAGCTTATTTGATTTTTAAATTGTGCTCTTTATGCTACAAGCGAGTGGTAGCTTTGATCAGACCTGTTTACTATATACAAAGTTTGCTTTGTATTATTATTACTATTTTTTTGGAGCTATGTGCTATATATACTTTTGTAGCCCTTTTCCTGGGTCCGTTAATATATGATTTGTCATCAGTTTCTGTCTCGATCATACAAAATTTTGGGCCTTCAATGACAATTCCCAGTTGGACTTGCAATCTTTCATAAGGTTGATAGTTTCACAGTCTAAAACATATTGTATAACAGTATATACCAGGGTTATTACTTGATGTTGCATGGCATATGGAGGAAATTGTATTTGTGAGAGTGCAAATAGCCAGTCAGTTGTACAAGATGCGTGCCTACACCTATTGTCATCGGTATCTTTATCGTTTAGTCTATTGACATACTCCAAAAATGATGTTTAACTTGCTTATTAGCCAAATTATGTTGTGCATTTTCTGGATACCACTTGATAGGGCAATGTATTTTAATTTTAATTTATACTTAAATTTGAATGAACATCCCCCACTGTGAAAGGTTACGATGAACATGATTTTGACCTCATTGTTAGGATGCTGAAATTTTGAATGTACTTGCACAAGTAAGATTGTAACACATCAAAATTCATTGATCATGTCCGTCTTTTCTACCCACCACCTCTCCTCTCCCTCGCCGGAGACCCAAACCCGAACCCCCTATTCCTGTCCTCCTCCCTCTCTCCTAGCCACAGCCTCAATCCCTTAATCTCTCGCTCCTTCATCCCCTTTCATCACTCCAGTCCTCTCCTCCTCGCAACAGAGCTTGCCGAAAAACACCCACCCTCTTTGCTACCGACACTGCTTCACCTTCCCTTCGAACTGGCAAGGTAAGATTGATTGTTTTGATTTTGGTTGCTTCGCAAAGAGGAGTTTTTCGGATGATTTATTGTTTAGTAGTGTTAGGTATATGATTACACCATTTTTGGAAATCCATTGATACAGATGGGATTAGTAACATTAAGTGTAGATACATAGAAATGCGGATTATAAATGGTTCTGGTTGATGCTTATAAGGTGTTTGATGAATTATCTCTTCACATAACTACGTAACAATCTTTAACTACTACCTTTTCTGTGAACTGTATAGTTATATGTAAATGTGGTTTGTTGTTAGCGTTGACCCAATTTGATATGTTGGTTTCATGCTGAATAATATTTGGGAGTAATCATGTATGTATTGTTTAAATGTGTTTTCAAATATAACTGTTTATTTATTTAGTTTGGATATGCAATGATCTGAGACATAATTTTGGATGTGAAGAATGCATGAACAAATGGGGAATTTCTTAAGTAGGTAGGAGGGTTTTTGAAAAATGTATCAAAATGTATTAGAGATACAATTCTAATCAATGGTTGAAATTCAAACATGTCTAAACTCCAGATACCGATTATACTTTATTTTTCCTTTTCCCCTCCCCTTTCTGCCTCTATTATGTTAATTTTGTTTCCTAGATCTTTAATTTTGTAGCTCTTTTTTATTTTTTTAGATAACTAAATGAAGAATTCTATTCGAAATCAAAATTACAGCACTGATAGGAAATTGACTGACTGGAATATAGGGAGAAACTGAGCCTGGGGCAAAACACTTCTCTTGATGATGATTTATCAGACAGACTTATGCCACTGGGACTCAGGTATGTGTTCCAACTCCAAGGTTTATTTGGCAGCACAACTCACATTGTGGTTTGAGTTTGGGGCAAAACACTTCTTCATTTTTTTCCCCATTGATTTCTCTTTCTTTGAATTTGGGGTTTTATTCCCTCTTTTCTTTGATTTCTCTTTCTTTGAATTTGGGGCTTTATCCATGTAGACACTACCCATGTCTTTTCACTGCCAATGCACCACTATAGTAGGTATGGTTAGTAGTTGGATTCCCATATAAATCTGTATATTAAACTTTCTAAATTTCTATTTTTGATTAAATAGAATTATCATTTTATAGTGTTCCTTTTTATGCTCAAATTCCTGTTGTAATTTTTTTTCCCCAGTTAGTTTTTTTTCCAATTAAAGGCATAAAGAGGTAGTTATGAGATGAAAGTAAAAAGTGGCAATTCTTCAACTCATGTGATAGATATGTTTTGCAGTTGTTGATCAACAGTTTAGATAACTATAAAGAACAAAATGACAGCAAAGAACAGGACCTAGTAATAAGAAAGAGAACAGGACCTTCCCAGGTGAGGTCGGTCTCTCTCTCTCTCTCTCTCTCTCTCTCTCTCTCATGCAATACTACCCATGTCTCTGATTTGAATACATCAGTCTATAATGGTTTGATTGTCTTTGATTTCAATTTTTGGATAGATTTGAATACGTTAGTCTATAATGGTTTGATTGTTTATCAAGGTTTAATTGTTGTTATGTTTTTGAACTTCCTATTCCCTCTTTGTTCCAAATTTCTTTGATTTCTCTTTCTTTGAATTTGGGGTTTTATCCATGTAGACACTACCCATGTCTTTTCACTGCCAATGCACCACTACAGCTTTGTCAATGAAACTCCACAATTAAACAAAATTCAATTGAAATTTAAAATACAGCTGAGGTTTTGATATTTTTTGTTTTCAAATGGGAGTTATGATGGTAAATTGACAAAAGGAAAATGGTAAATTTATTGCAATTATGATGGAAAATGGTAACTATGTTTGTGTTTGTGAGCTATTCTCATTGAAGTCTGAAGTAGTAGTCTCAATTGTTCTCATTGATGTGTGTTGTAATATAAGTCTTTGTTGTGGGATTCACACTTGCAATTAATCTCAACCATAATATTGCTCTTTTATAGGAAATTTTTTTGGGTGTGTAGTATTTGCTCTCTCTCTTTGGTCCTGAAAGTTGTGGATAGCATTGTACAGCATTGTTGCTACACATGAATTAGCTCAATCTCAGTTTTTTATGCTCAACCTCAACTGAGGTTTTTCTTCAGTTCTTCAGTTCTTTGTGGGTCATTGAGAATCTTGAGGCTTCAAGGTTATGTACATACATTTTAATTTCATTCTCCACAATTAATTAAACCCATCCAAGCACCAAGAACTTTGTTATCCACCCGACATATTCTTACAAAATTATGCCCGAGTAATTTTACAAAATTCATTTGAAATTTGAAATACAATTGAGACTTTGAATTTTTTTTGTTTTCAAATGGAAGTTATGATGGTAAATTGACAAAAGAAATGGTAAATTGATTGCAGTTATGATGCACATCTAACTATGTTTGTGTTTGTGATGATTTGTGTTCTTTAGACTGCATGACGAAAGGATATGTGAGTTGTGCTGCCAAATAAACCTTGGAGTTGGAACATATCCCTGAGTCCCAGTGGCATAAGTCTGTCTGATAAATCATCATCAAGAGAAGTGTTTTGCCCCAGGCTCAGTTTCTCCCTGTATTCCAGTCAGTCAATTTCCTATCAGTGCTGTAATTTTGATTTCGAACAAAATTCTTCATTTAGTTATCTAAAAAAATAAAAAAGAGCTACAAAATTAAAGATCTAGGAAACAAAATTAATATAACAGAGGCAGAAAGGGGAGGGGAAAAGGAAAAATAAAGTATAATCGGTATCTGGAGTTTAGACATGTTTGAATTTCAACCATTGATTAGAATTGTATCTCTAATACATTTTGATACATTTTTCAAAAACCCTCCTACCTACTTAAGAAATTCCCCATTTGTTCATGCATTCTTCACATCCAAAATTATGTCTCAGATCATTGCATATCCAAACTAAATAAATAAACAGTTATATTTGAAAACACATTTAAACAATACATACATGATTACTCCCAAATATTATTCAGCATGAAACCAACATATCAAATTGGGTCAACGCTAACAACAAACCACATTTACATATAACTATACAGTTCACAGAAAAGGTAGTAGTTAAAGATTGTTACGTAGTTATGTAAAGAGATAATTCATCAAACACCTTATAAGCATCAACCAGAACCATTTATAATCCGCATTTCTATGTATCTACACTTAATGTTACTAATCCCATCTGTATCAATGGATTTCCAAAAATGGTGTAATCATATACCTAACACTACTAAACAATAAATCATCCGAAAAACTCCTCTTTGCGAAGCAACCAAAATCAAAACAATCAATCTTACCTTGCCAGTTCGAAGGGAAGGTGAAGCAGTGTCGGTAGCAAAGAGGGTGGGTGTTTTTCGGCAAGCTCTGTTGCGAGGAGGAGAGGACTGGAGTGATGAAAGGGGATGAAGGAGCGAGAGATTAAGGGATTGAGGCTGTGGCTAGGAGAGAGGGAGGAGGACAGGAATAGGGGGTTCGGGTTTGGGTCTCCGGCGAGGGAGAGGAGAGGTGGTGGGTAGAAAAGACGGACATGATCAATGAATTTTGATGTGTTACAATCTTACTTGTGCAAGTACATTCAAAATTTCAGCATCCTAACAATGAGGTCAAAATCATGTTCATCCTAACCTTTCACAGTGGGGGATGTTCATTCAAATTTAAGTATAAATTAAAATTAAAATACATTGCCCTATCAAGTGGTATCCAGAAAATGCACAACATAATTTGGCTAATAAGCAAGTTAAACATCATTTTTGGAGTATGTCAATAGCCTAAACGATAAAGATACCGATGACAATAGGTGTAGGCACGCATCTTGTACAACTGACTAGCTATTTGCACTCTCACAAATAAAATTTCCTCCATATGCCATGCAACATCAAGTAATAACCCTAGTATATACTGTTATACAATATGTTTTAGACTGTGAAACTATCAACCTGATGAAATATTGCAAGTCCAGCTAGGAATTGTCACTGAAGCCCAAAGTTTTGTATGATCGAGACAGAAACTGATGACAGATCATATATTAACGGACCTAGGAAAAGGGCTACAAAAGTATATATAGCACATAACTCCAAAAAAATAGTAATAATAATACAAAGCAAACTTTGTATATAGTAAACAGGTCTGATCAAAGCTACCACTCGCTTGTAGCATAAAGAGCACAATTTAAAAATCAAATAAGCTTGAAATGCTAACCTCAGGAGACCATCTTGTACTTATGGGCATTCCAGCCAAATTTACAACAGCATTTGAACCTTGAATACAGTCTTTCCACTCTGGCTCCTCTGTAATCACAATTCCTGGAAAGTCCCTGACTATAATTGCAAGGACACAGAAGAAGGAAATGATGAGAATCAAACAATAATTCCAGCTATAAGAAGAAATACAAACACCAAAAAAAAACTTAGTTATTGTGTTAACACAAAAAATAACAATTTTAAAACTTTAAAAATAAATAAAAGAAAATCTTTATGTGGTGGAACTTGAGAAATAACACACTGCAATGCAAGATAAATGAGACCAAATGTACTCTGCCTACAGCAAATCTGATTATCATTTTGTCAGAAGGCAAAATCAGATGTAGTTTTGCCCTGCTATATCACTAATGTCATATACTAACATCTTGTAAGGATTTATGCAGACAAATGTAATCATTACCTTCTTACCCGAAAAAATTACTTGAGCTTTATATCTAGATCACGTCAAGACACGAACTCTATGATTATCTGCATTCCAAAGGTAATAAAAGTGAACAGTCGGTGTCGCAATGGCGGTGGTCGTTGCAAGGAGAGGTGGTTGGTGGTCGGTGATCGCGATGGGTATGAGAGAGAGAGTAGCATATGAAAGTATGAAAGAGATAGGAGCAACAGAGGAAAGTTTTGAGGGGAGAGATAGAGAGAGAGGGAAAAGGTTCTGTTCAAGAAGAAGAACAGATGGAGAGAGAGAGAGAGAGAGAGAGAGAGAGAGAGAGAGAGAGAGAGAGAGAAAAGAGGGAATGGGGGAGGAGACGTGGGTAGGTGGAAGGCTGAGGGGAACAAATGTTTGGGCGGGAATGAAAGTCATCTCAACCATTGACATTTAAAAGAATTAATCTGGGCCATTCAAACAAAATGTATGTATGATACATTTTTGTATATTTTCAAAAACCTTTTTGTTTTATTATATAAATATATACATTTACACTATGTTTGGATTGAGTGATTTGGAGAGAAAAGAGAAGAAATGGAGTGATATGTATTTCTCTTATTTGTTTGGATAACATAAGTAGAGAGAAATGGAAAGAAATTGAGAGAAATTGAGAGAAACTCATTTCTCTTATAAGCTTCATTTTCAATCTTCCCAAAAGTGGAGAGATTGGGAGAGAAAAGAAATCACTATTTTCATAATACCAATTTTGTCCCTATAAAAATAAAAGAAATAAAATGATTGAAAATATAAAAAGGTTATTTTGGTAATATAACATAAAATAATTTCTTTTCTTTTCTCTTAATGAAACCTAACCAAACAAGAATGAGAGAAATCACAATCATTTCTTTTCTTTTCTTTTCTCTTATTACTTAAGTAATTATTTTAATCCCCAAGATAGCAAAAGGGGTAAAACAAAAGAACAAAAACAAAGTCTCGCACTTGAGATGTTCAGGCTAACTTCACAAAAACTTGGATTTCTTTCACATCCTTCACTGAGGCTGGGTTTCGACATCTCTTTGCTCACCTACATACATATAAATAAGAGTGAGCAAAAGCCCAGTGAATAATACCAAAGTAAAGAGCTTATATGAATGAAATTCTCTAATAGATAATATCCTTGTCAAACATATCAAACGGCCTTAGACCTATTCATACTCTTATCAAATATATCAAACGGCCTAATGCCCAAACACATCAAACAACCTTAGGCCCAATTCATTCATGTCAAACGACCTTAGGCCCAATCATATCAAAAAGCCTTGGGCCCATTAATTTCATATTCAGATTTATGTGCATTTCATATTCGCGATCGTAATCATGTTTATATTCAAACGGCCTTAGGCCCAATGCATTTGTATTCAAATGGCCTTAGGCCCATTTATATCCTTATCAAATATATCAAACGGCCTCAGGCCCAAGTATGACAAATGGCCTTAGGCCCAATTAAAATATATCAATCTAATAAATCCATGAAGCATAGCAGTTGGAAAGTAACATACTTGAAAATATCTTTACTAAGATATTACTCACAGTGTTTCGTCGATGGGTTTGCCCTCGTGCTTGACCCTACACATTTCATAACACATTGGGTCACAAACAATTCAATCCATTCTTAACTTATTTATTTCTCTTAGGCCTCTTTCTTATCCCT